CGCGGCGGCCTCCTGCAGCCCGGGCTGCGGGGACGGCAGCCGGTCCCCACATGCTGGGAGCTGGCGGGGTGCATGTCGACCTACCCAGGGCTCCGGCTGTGATTCGCACCAAGGCCTCACTGAAATGCAGGCGAAGCCGATTTGTCCATGATGTCAATCTAAAGTCGCTCCTCAGAGGAGCCTGTGGCCCTTGCGACTACAAAGTGCGCTCTCTGCCTCACTCTTAGAGTGGAATGACTGGACCGTGTAAGGATGAGGGTAGAAAACTGACAGGAAGGGGTTCGGTTCAGCTCCCGAACCGAGCTGTCACAGACCTCGTCAATGCTACGTGAACGAGAGAGAACTCGATAAAGAAGCGTTGGGAGGCGTCGGTGTAAAACCACAACAGGAACCCGACGTTTAAAGCCTCACGCCGTTGGAGCAGGCTGGCAGGCCCCACCTCAAGTCGGAACGCACTTTCAGCGGAGTGCAGTTTTCCCGCCGGAGTCGGGGTCAGCTGCACCTTTCCCTATTGCGCAGGCGCAGTGCCAGTAACAGCATGGAAGCCGTGGGTGTGCTGTGTTTGGCTGTGGTAGTCCTAGCACCCGGCATCTTCTGGGTTTGGCACTTCTTGGAACGGATGAAGAGTCAGGTGCAAGCTGGCCTGTTGGAAAGAGGAAGCCGGACCCTCCTAGTGATCGCGCACCCCGACGATGAAGCCATGTTCTTTGCTCCCACATTGCTAGGCTTGGCCCGCCTGAGGCACCACGTGTTCCTGCTCTGCTTCTCTGCAGGTAGGAGGCTGCATGCGAGGCGTTGGGACCTGGGACTGTGAAGGATATTTAAGTGCTCACGTATCTCAGTCGCCTTTTTGCCAGAGGATTCTCTGTTGTAGAGAGCTAACTGAACAATACACCGAAAGCCCCTTTTCTGGGCGCTTCACAGAGAATCGGTGGCTCCAGCCTAGGGACTGTATCGGCCGGCTTTCCAGGTTGGTTGGAGGACGTCCTCAGCGTTCGTACTCTACTCTCTGCTAGCAGGATTACGCACAACTGCTCACATTTGATTCCATTCAATACCTACATGTCCTTTGGGAAATGCGACTGTACTCATTCTGTATCATTATTCTGCGGAGCCTTTTTATTTGCAGAAGGACCAAGAATAATGATCCTACCATAGTACACCAAACAGAATCTAGGTTGTATCATGCCTGCTAAACCCTGAAAGTTTTACTTCTAGCGGTAGCAAAGGACCTTCCTCCTGCTTTTAAAATATATTTTGTCCTAAAAAGATGCACATGTCAAATTGAAGAGATAGAATCATATCATTAAACTACAACATACTTTTATAGGTAATTTTATAGTTCAACACCACCCAACTTTCAGTGAAGCGGTCTTTCAAAGAATGGGTCCTCCTTTACCTTACAGAAAACATGAAATAAGACAATGATACTGGATTATGGTAATAATTGCACAAGTGTATAAATGAAGTGATTGAACTGTACATGTACATGGGTGATTTTTTTTTTTTTAAGATAAGGATTCTTTTTAAAAATATTTTTATTGATTTTTAGAGAGAGAGGATGGGAGGAGAGAGAGAGAAACATCAGTGTGAGAGTAGAACATCAATTGGCTGCCTCCTGCATGCCCAGTACTGGGGATCAAGCCTGCAACCCCAGCAAGTGCTCTGACTGGAATCAAACCCGGGACCTCTTGGTGCATGGGACAACACTCAACCAACTAAGCCACACTGGCTGAGTGAGAGTGAACTTTTGTGGTATGTAAAATTTTACCTCAATAAAGCTGTTTTTAACAAATGGCCATGACCTCTTTTTCCCATTTCGTTATGTGTCATTCCAGTTCTTTTCTATACCGATTTTTCACAGAAATAACATTTAATACAATTTTATATTTTTCACTGAACGTTACTTTTCATTCACTTAACAAATATTTATTAAAAATTTATGTGCACTGCACATTTAGAATGGCCAAAATCTGGAACACTAACAATACCAAATGCTGGTGAGGATGTAGAGCAACAGGAACTCTCATTAAGGAGAGGAATGCAAGATGGTTCAGGCACTTTGGAAGGCAGTTAGTTTGGCAGTTTCTTAGAAAACTAAGCATACTCTTACCCAACCATCCAGCAATTACCCTACTTGGTATTTATTTACCCAAAGGAGTTGAAAACATGTCTACAAAAAAACCTGCACACAGGTGTTTATAGCAGCTTATTCATAATTGCCAAAACCTGGAAGCAATTAAGATTTTCTTCAGTAGGTGAATGGATAAATAAATTAGTACATCCAGGCAATGTTTTATTAGTGCTAAAGAGAAATAAGCTATCAAGCCATGAAAAGGCAGGGAGGAACCCTAAATGCATATTATTAAATGAAAGAAGCCAATCTGAAAAGGCTACAGACCGTATTCCAACTACATGATGTTCTGGAAAATGCAAAACTATGGAGACAGTAAAAGGATCATTGTTTTCCATGGGTTGAGCTGGAAGGAAGGATGAATCAGTAGGTGGAGCACAGAGGATTTTTAAGGACAGTGAAAATACTGTATGATATTTTAATAACAGATATATGTCATTATACAGTGTCCAAACCCATACAATGTATGACACCAGGAGTAAACTCTAATGTAAACTATGGGCTTTGGGTGATAATGGTGTAGGTTCATCAGTTGTTACAAATCTGCTGGGAAATGCTGATGATGGGGAAGACTATGTATATGTGAGAATGGGGGTAAATGGGAAGGAAAATCTCTGTACCTTCCCTTCAATTTTGCTAGGAACCTAACACTGCTTTTTTAAAAAAATAAAGTTTTAATTAAAAAAAAAATTTTTTTTAATATATGCTAAGCCTTATTCTATGTCCTAGGAATAAACAGTGAAAATAAGCTAGATAAGGACTATGTCCTTGTGAAATGTATAATTTAAACATTTACCCATATTAATGAGAACTGATGTATAGCCTTTTAAATGGGCTCACCTTAGTTTATTCATCTCTCATTGTATGTATATTGAGGGGGTTTTTCTCCAGTTTATCTCCATTGCAAATAACAGCAAACATCTGTATGTATTCCATAGTATTTCATTAGGACTAATTTCTAAATTTGACTGTTTTAAGGCTTTTCATGCAAATTGCATTCCCAAAAGCATACCAACTTATATTCTCACTGACTGGTAATGAGAAATCTCTGTCTTTGTTTTTCTTTTTATTGAATTTATTGGGGTGACACTGGTTAACAAAATCATACAGGTTTCAGGTGCACAATTCCACAACATACCTATACATTATATTGTGTGTTCATAACCCTAAGTCAAGTCTCCTTCCATCACCATTTATCCTCCATATACCCTCCTCCACCTCCCTACCGCCCTCCCCACAATCACCACACTGTTGTCCATATCCTTGACTGTTTTCTCCTTTTTTCTTCTTTTTTTTTTTTTTTTGATAATCCTCACCTGAGGATATATATTCTTCCATTGCTTTTTCAGAGAGTGGAAGGGAGGGGGAGGGGGAGAGAGAAACATCAGTTGGTTGCCTCCCACATGTGCCCTGACCAGGGCAAGGGATCGAGCCTGCAAATGAGGTCCGTGCCCTTGACTGGAATTGAACCTGAGACCCTTCAGTTCAAAGGCCAATGCTCTAACCACTGAGCCACACCAGCTAGGGCCCATTTTAAGTTTTTTGTTTTTGTTTTTTAAACATATCTCTATTGATTTCAGAGAGAGGAAAGGAGGGGGAGAGAGATAGAAACATCAATGATGAGGGAGTCATTGAACAGCTGCAGCCCGCAACCTGGGCATGTGCCCAGACCAGGAATCGAACCCCGATCTCCTGGATCCTAGGTCAGTGCTCAACCGCTGAGCCACGCCCGGCCGGGCCCATTTTAAGTTTTTTGAGGTAACTCCATTCTGCTTTCAACAATGGCTGTACCAACCTGCTTTCATACCAACAACAGTGCACAAGGGTTCCCTTTTCTCCACATCCTCACCAACTTTGTTGTTTGTTGATTTATTGATGGCAGCCATTCTGACAGGTATGAGGTGATATCTCATTGTGGTTTTAATTTGCATTTCTCTGATGATTAGTGACATCCAGCATCTTTTTTATTATTATTGATTTCAGAGAGAGGAAGGGAGAGGGAAAGAGAGATAGAAACATCAATGATGAGAGAGAGTCATTGATCAGCTGCCTCCTGCACACCCCCTACTGGGGATGGAGCCTGCAACCTGTGCATGCACCCTGACTGGGAATCAAACCATGACCTCCTGGTTCATAGGTCAATGCTCAACCACTGAGCAATGCTGGCCAGGCCAAGCATCTTTTCACTTATCCATGCCCGTCTATATGTCCTCTTTGGAGAAGTGTCTATTCAGGTCCTTTGCCCATTTTTCAATTTGTTTGTTTTTTTGGTGTTGAGTTTTATAAGTTCTTTATAAATTTTGGATATTAACCCCTTATCAGATGTATCATTGGCGAATATGTTCTCCCATTCAGTAGGTTGTCTCTTCATTTTGTTGATGGTTTCCTTTGCTGTGCAAAAGCTTTTTAGTTTGATAGAGTCCCATTTGTTTAATTTTTCTTTTGTTGTCCTTGCCAGAGCAGTTATATGAGAAGAAATAGTGCTGCTAGAAATGTCCAAGATTTTACTGCCTATGTTTTATTTAAGGATTTTTATAATTTCCAGTCTAACATTTAAGTCTTTAATCCATTTTGAGTTTATACTTGTGTATGATCCAAGAAGATGGTCTAGTTTCATTTTTTTGCATGTATCTGTCCAGTATTCCCAACATCATTTATTGAATAGACTACTTTTTACCGCATGGTATGTTTTTGCCTCATGTGTCAGATATTAATTGACTATAAAGGCATGTGTTTATTTCTGGGCTCTCCCTTCTGTTCCATTGATCTATATTTCTGTTTTTATGCCAGTACCACACTGTTTTGATTACTATGGGCTTGTAGTATAGTTTGATATCAGGTAGCATGATTCTTCCAACTTTGTTCTTCTTTCTCAAGAATGCTGTTGCTATTCGCTGTCTTTTGTGGTTCCATATACATTTTTGGAATTTTTGTTCTAGTTCTGTGAAATACACCATAGTGTATTGATAGCAGTTGCATTGAATCTATAGATTGCTTTGGGGAGTATGGACATTTTAATGATGTCACTTCTTCCTCTCCATGAACATGGTATATGCTTCCACTTATTTGTATCTTCTTCAGTTTCTTTCTTCAGTGTCTTAAAATTTTACAAGTATAGGTGTTTTACATTCTTGGTTAAATTTATTCCTAGGTATTTTATTCTTTTTGAAGCAGTTGTGAATGGGATTGTTTTCTTAGTTTCCCTTTCTGATAGTTCATTATTGGTGTATAAATATGCAACTGATTTCTGGATATTTATTTTGTATCCTGCTACTTTACTAAATTTATTTATTAGTTCTGGTATTTTTTTGCTGCTATCTTTAGAGTTCTCTGTATACAGTATCATGTCATGAGAATCTCTGTCTTTACATATATATAATACCCTCTCTAGCATTGACTAGTATTTTAAAAATAACATTTCTTGATTTGATTAACATTTATCTCCCCTCAAAATCTTTTGTTGCCTTAAGATTAAACCATTTTTCATAGTTCTTGAGAATTTGTATATAACACTTCTCAGTTTTTGCTATTAAGGATGTCAGTTGCAATAGATGCAGTTAAAGGCCTCATTTTTTTTGCTTTTCATTTTATAAATGTTTTATACTACAACTATAATTATAGGAGTCAAATTATAAGCTA